CGGTCCTGGAGGCGGTCCTACTGGGGGTGCTACTGGTGCTGCTGGAGGTACTGGAGCTGGAGGTGCTGCTGGCGCTGGTGCTGCCGCTGGGGGTACTGGTGCTGTCCCTGCTGTGTCTGGAGTCGCCGCGCGGCCTCGGCCGTACTTCGTTCCGCTCCTTCAGCAGGTTCTTGGTCTCCCGCCTTCTACTGGTCCTCCTCCTCCCTTAGAGTGTCCACAGCCTGTCACGTCACAGTTACAGTTACAGCCGGCCTCCCCACTGCCCGCTCCTTCTCCCTACACTGGTCCTACTGGAGGTCTTACTGAGCGTCGTGAGCCTGCGTCTCGCCCTGCGTCGCCTGTCCGTGCTGCTCGCACTAGTGGTCGTGGTTCGCGTCAGCGTCCTCCTCCTGTCCCTGGCACGCACCGGATGTCTCTGCGTCCGTCCACTGCTCCTCTGCGTGCCCCTTTGCCTTCTCCTCCTGAGTCCTCTCTTCCTGCTCTTCCTGACCCGGAGTCGGACTCCCTTCGTGCTGCCAGTCCGACTGTCACGCGTCTCCTTGCTACTGTTGTCACTGACCCTTCCTTTGAGTCCACTGCTGCGTCTGCCCTAGTTGCTGAGCTCGTCGACTTTGCTGCTCGCTGTCGTCTAGACTACGCTGCTAGTCTTGTTGCTGAGTCTGAGTCTGTCTGTCCTCCGTCCGTCGGGGGTGAGTGTGCCCTTGGCACGGACGTCCTTGAGGACAGGCAGGAGGAGTTCCAGTGTCTGGCTGCTGCATCACCTCATCTCGTGTCCGTACTGCTTACCCCTGAGGGAGACCCGGATGCACTTGACATCCCGACTCCGCGCTCTTACGCGGAGGCGATAGAGGGTCCCTACTCCTCTCAGTGGCAGGCAGCTATGGACGCAGAGATGGCTTCCTGGAAGTCCACAGGCACCTACGTTGACGAGGTTCCCCCGCCTGGGGCGAACATCGTCAGTGGCATGTGGATTTTCAGGGTGAAGCGGCCGCCGGGTTCTCCGCCTGTCTTCAAGGCGCGTTACGTGGCTCGTGGCTTCAGTCAGCGGCAGGGAGTTGACTACTTTCAGACCTTCTCTCCCACCCCGAAGATGACCACTCTTCGGGTACTGCTGCACATAGCTGCTCACCGCGACTACGAGCTGCACTCTCTTGACTTCAGCACTGCTTTCTTGCAGGGCAGCCTGCACGTGGAGATCTGGCTGCGTCGCCCACCTGGCTTCACTGGGTCCTTTCCTCGTGGCACCCAGTGGAGCCTCCGGCGGCCAGTCTACGGTCTCCGCCAGGCACCGCGTGAGTGGCACGACACACTGAGGACTACACTTGCGGCTCTTGGGTTTGCTCCCTCTACTGCCGACCCGTCGCTGTTTCTGCGCACCGACACTTCTTTGCCGCCGTTCTACATCCTCGTGTACGTCGACGACTTGGTCTTCGCCACAGCTGACACTGCTGGACTCGCCCACGTGAAGTCCGAGCTGCAGAAGAGACACACGTGCACAGACCTGGGTGAACTGCGCAGCTACCTTGGCTTGCAGATCACCCGGGACAGAGCACGCCGCACCATTACCCTGACTCAGTCACACATGGTGCAGCAGGTCCTTCAGCGCTTCGGCTTCACGTACTCCTCGCCTCAGGCCACTCCTCTGCCTACTCGCCACTCGCTCTCAGCTCTGCCTTCGGATGAGTCCGTAGAGTCAAGTGGCCCGTACCCAGAGCTTGTTGGCTGCCTCATGTACCTGATGACCTGCACACGACCTGACCTTGCATACCCTCTTAGCATTCTTGCACGCTATGTTGCTCCTGGGAGACACAGACCGGAGCACATGGCTGCAGCGAAGAGGGTGTTGCGCTACTTGTGCAGTACGTCGGGCATGGGGCTTGTGCTTGGAGGGCAGAGTCCAGTGGTCCTCACTGGGCACGCAGACGCTTCTTGGGCTGATGACCAGGCTACGCAGCGGTCGTCACAGGGTTACACCTTCAGCCTTGGTTCCGGCTCTGTTTCGTGGCGGGCTACCCGCTCGTCTTCTGTTCTCGGCTCCAGTTGTGAGGCTGAGATCTACGCCGGGGCCATGGCTGCACAGGAGCTTTGCTGGCTCACCTACCTGCTCACTGACCTCGGAGAGCCGCCTCGTTCTCCTCCAGTGCTGTACGTAGACAACAAGGCCATGCTGGCCTTGTGTCGAGAGCAGAGACTGGAGCACAGAACGAAGCACATTGCTCTCCGTTACTTCCTTGCTCGTGAGCTACAGCAGCGTGGTCAGCTACGGCTTGCGTACGTGGCCTCTGCGGCCAACACTGCTGATAGTCTTCACCAAGGCACTTCCGCCTTGTGATCATCAGCGCTTCTGTACTCAGCTGGGTCTTGTGCCTACCTTGCCTCACTTGCTCACCCCTTGACCTTGCTTGTACTGTTGCATATACATATACACCTGCTCTTGCTTGTCTAGCCTTATATATATATGCAATCCTGCATGTGAACTGGCCTTGTGGCCTTGAACTTGTGCTCGGAATGTGTGGTGACTTTGTGATCCACCCTGAGCTTGTTTTGCTTTGCTTGACTGGTCTTGTGACCCCTTGTTCTCCCCCACTTTGCCTATGGGGGTGTGTCAGATTTATATGACATAGCTACTGTAGGCTATAGTGGGGTAGCATATATGGGGTACAGTTTTCTAGGGTTTGCTTTTGTACCCAACTTTCCTTTAGTCATCCCATTCTTCGTTTCTTTTCAATAACATTCTGACACTTGAGGCCTGGGAGAGGTGCAATAACGGGAAACAGAAGAGAAAAACAGCACTAGGGGGGAAATTATGATGGGCAAGGTGACGCGAATGAAGAGAAAGAGGGAGGGCGACGGGAAACGGGAGGGCGACGGGAAGGGAGGGCGTAGGAAACGGGAGGGCGACGGAAGAAGGGGGGCGACGGGAAACGGGAGGGCGACGGGAAACGGGAGGGCGACGGGAAACGCGAGGGCGACGGGAAACGGGAGGGCGACGGGAAACGGGAGGGCGACGGAAAACGGGAGGGCGACGGGAAACGCGAGGGCGACGGGAAAAGGGAGGGCGACGGAAGAAGGGAGGGCGACGGGAAACGGGAGGGCGACGGGAAACCGGAGGGCGACGGGAAACGCGAGGGCGACGGGAAACGGGAGGGCGACGGGAAAAGGGAGGGCGACGGGAAACGGGAGGGGGGCGGGAAACGGGAGGGAGACGGGAAACGGGAGGGCGACGGGAGAGAGGATAGGCGGCGGGAGAGAGGGTGTCGAGAATAGATGGAAAGACAGAAAAAACAAACAAACCAAACACAATAACAGAGTACGGAATGGGTCACGCTGACGCGATAGCAGAGGGAGAACGAGAGAGGCGACGGAGAAAGGAGGGCATACGTGATGGGAGAGTCGAAGGTCGCCGGGAGGGCTATTCGAGGCGAGCGAGAAGGGAGGATGGGAAGGGAGCAGAAAGAGAGAGGGCAATGGGAAGGGAGCGGAGAGAGAGCGCGATTCGAAGGGAGGAGCGAGAGAGAGGGCGGAGTGGAGAGAGAGAACGCGATGGGAAGGGAGGGGCGAGAGAGAGGGCGACGGGAAGGGCGCGGAGAGCGCGACGGGTAGGAGGGGCGAGAGAGAGGGCGACGGGAAGGGAGCGGAGAGAGAGATCGCGACGGGAAGGGAGGGGCGAGAGAGAGGGCGACGGGAAGGGAGCGGAGAGAGAGAGCGCGATGGGAAGGGAGGGGCGAGAGAGAGGGCGAGGGGAAGGGAGCGGAGAGAGAGAGCGCGACGGGAAGGGAGCGGAGAGAGAGGCCGACGGGATGGGAGCGGAGAGAGAGCGCGATTCGAAGGAGGAGCGAGAGAGAGGGCGGAGCGGAGAGAGAGAGAGCGATGGGAAGGGAGGGGCGAGAGAGAGGGCGACGGGAAGGGCGCGGAGAGAGGGAGCGCGACGGGAAGGGAGGGGCGAGAGAGAGGGCGACGGGAAGGGAGCGGAGAGAGAGAGCGCGACGGGGCGAGCGACGGGAGGGCGATCGGTAGGGAGGGGCGAGAGAGAGGCCGACGGGAGGAGAGGAGGGGAGAGAGGGCGACGAAGAGGGCGACGGGACGGGCGACGAGATGGCGACGTGACGCGCGACGGAAAGGGAGACGGGTGGGCGATTTGGCGAACTCGAGGATAGCATAGTGGGCGATGAGAGGGGTGAGAGGAATGGCGACGGGAATGGGGTTCTCTGTGATCGCGAGGAAAATATCACTACGCAGCAACGGCGACGAAGTATCACAAACAATCTAATGATAATTTCATTTCTATGCCGCATCAGCCTAATCCCTCGTCTCTGGCTATTCTATGCTAGGCAAGCTCCGTGAGTTAGGCAAGCTACGTGAATGGAGTTGAAGTAAGCATATGTGGAACCCAGGCCCAGCTTGAAAGTCGAAGTTGGGTCCAACCATCAAAACGCACGACAAACAACTGTCGTGCAAATGTCGCATGCAGAAAATGCGAACGCGCGAGCACGATCTGATTTTTTTTTTTGGCGGGAACGAATCACGTGTGTTCAGTCTGTGGAAGGGCGATGCCCGGAACAGTGTTTTACACAGCCCATCGTCGTTCCAGTTTTGCTTCTTCCGAGCACGATTTCAAGTTGGATCCGCCTTCACTATTTTATATTTCGGTTTTAAGTTTTTGCCAGGTCTGATAAGTATTCTCCTTAGTCAGAACTTTTGTACAGCAGTTTCGTGGTGCGGCTTGCTCTGTAATTCGTTTTAGCTCATTTTGCAGTCTTACATCGAGGATACCCTCTGTTCGCAAGAAAACCCTAAACGAGTTCACTTCACCTCATCACACGGCTTTCTCGAGTAGTGATTCTTTTTCGCGTTTTTTGCATTCCCCGCGTCTCACTCCCAAGGGTTTCGCATCGCGACGCGACCACTCCATTCCTCCCCTACCCTTGCACGTCACACGCGTTCGTCTCGCACCACATCACACCCACACCCACACCTCCGAATCACACCGCCCTTCCGCCATGGCGGCAGCGCGCGGCGGCGGCGGCGAGCAGCTGGCGGGCGACGAGAGTCTGGTGTTCGAGACGAGCAAGGGCGTGCAGGTGCTGTCGTCCTTCGAGCAGATGGGCATCCGCGAGGACCTGCTTCGCGGAATCTACGCGTTCGGCTTCGAGAAGCCGTCCGCCATCCAGCAGCGCGCCATCAAGCCTATTATTGCCGGCCGTGACGTCATCGCGCAGGCGCAGTCCGGCACGGGCAAGACGAGCATGATCGGCCTCGCTGTGTGCCAAGTCGTCGATACGAGCTCTAGAGAGTGAGTCGCCAGCTCGAAAGAGTGAGTCGATATGAGCGTCAGCTAGTGATTCGCCAGCTCAAAACCAGTCCGGCACGGGCAAGACGAGCATGTTCGGCCTTGCAGTCTGCCAAGTCGTCGACACGAGCTCCAGAGAGTGAGTCGCCGCACCATGCCGCGCCGCGCTGAGCAAAGACGGCAGGCCATGCAGGGCTCAATTGTGAAGCAGCGAATGAGATCTCGTGCTCGTCTGTATCTCGTGTGCTTCTCCGCGCCTTGTACGCACCTCGGTGTGTCACAGTGCTTCTCTCAGCGCGCTCTCGCCCCTTCACACCCCCTCTCCGTCCCCTCAACACGCCCGCTTGCGATCGCAGGACGCAGGCGCTAATCCTCTCGCCGACGCGCGAGCTGGCGGTGCAGACGGAGAAGACGGTGCTGGCGGTGGGCGACCTCATGAACGTGCAGGCCTACGCCTGCATCGGCGGCCGCTCCATCGGCGAGGACATCCGCAAGCTCGAGTTCGGCGTGCAGGTGCGACGCGCATCCGCGCTGCAGGTGGCGGCGCGGGGGAGGTGAGGGGAAGGTCAGCGGCGCGCAGTTGGAGGCCACAGGCAGGCGAGTGAGGTAGCGCGGACTGGATTGTAGCGCGCAGAGGCGAGCTGTTGAGTGGATTGGAGGTGGAGTTGTGGTGGCTCTGTCTGGCGGGTCTCGTGAGAAAGAGTTGCGTTTAGCGGCCGCGCGGCTCACATGCCTCCCTCCCTGCGCACGCTCTTCCCTGCGTGCGCTTCCCTACCCGCACTCTCCTCCCTGCGCTCCCCGCGCTTCCCTACCCGCACTCCCCTCCCTGCACTCCCCTACACGCAGTCCCCTCCCCGCAGTCCCCTCCCCGCACTCCCCTCCCCGCACTCCCCTCCCCGCACTCCCCTCCCCGCACTCCCCTCCCCGCACTCCCATTGCTGCTCCACCATCTCGTCACTCTCCTTCCTCCCGTTTGTGCATGTGCGTGGGCGTGATCATGTGTGTGGGGGCCATGCGTTGGTGCGGGCATGATGCAACGCGCAGGTGGTATCGGGCACGCCAGGGCGAGTGTACGACATGATCAAGCGCCGCAGCCTGCGCACACGAGCCATCAAACTCCTCATTCTGGTGCGCCGCCTTCTCCTCCTGCCCCTTCTCGTCCTGCCCCTTCTCCTCCTGCCCCTTCTCCTCCTGCCCCTTCTCGTCCTGCCCCTCCTCCTCCTGCCCCTTCTCCTCCTGCCCCTTCTCGTCCTGCCCCTCCTCCTCCTGCCCCTTCTCCTCCCGCCGCCCCTCCTCCTGCCCCTTCTCCTCTTGCGTCCCTTATGTGTGCTGATGGACACGCTTCCTTGTACTTTGTCCCCCCCCCTGCCTGCCCATGTCGTCTCACACTGTCCGCCTCTGGGCTGTGGTGGCGTGGTGCGGTGGAGTGCAGGACGAGTCGGACGAGATGCTCAACATGGGCTTTAAGGACCAGATCTACGACATCTACCGCTACCTCCCGCCAGAGCTGCAGGTGCGTTGCGTGCGCTGCTGCTTCGTGCCACACCACAGCAGAGGTGCAGCTGGGCTTGAGCGCAGCCTCAGGTGCAGCTGGGCTTGAGCGCAGCCTCAGGTGCAGCTGGGCTTGAGCGCAGCCTCAGGTGCAGCTGGGCTTGAGCGCAGCCTCAGGTGCGCTGCCTGCCTTGAGGCTGCCGCCAGAGCTGCAGACGGGCTTGGGGTGATCAGGCCAAGGCAATCGGTTTGCCTCTTCACCCTCTCATATCCCCAGACTTTTCGATTCTGCTCTGCCTTTTCACACACTCACGAGCACCACTCGCTGCCCTTTGCATCTCACCTCACCTCCCCGCAGGTTCGTTCCCCATTCTCTCCGCCCTGCTTCCCCCTCTCCCGCTTTCCACCTGCCAAGGCTCACCTCCCTCGTGCTCGTCGCCGCCCACTTCACTCCACCACTCCCCCTCACACCCACCATGCCCCCTCTCCCCTCCCCTCCCTCTACCCCCCGCCCCCCCCCCACCCCTCCTCCTTACCGCCTCGCCATGCAGGTGGTGCTGGTGTCAGCCACGCTCCCCCACGAGATCCTGGAGATGACCAACAAGTTCATGACTGACCGCCTCCCCCCACCATGCCCCTTCTCCCCTCTCCTCCTCCCTCTCCTCCCTCTCCTCCCCCCACTCCCCCTTTTTCCACCCCCACTCCCTTTCCCTTCCCCGCACAGGTGGTGCTGGTGTCAGCCACGCTCCCCCACGAGATACTGGAAATGACCAACAAGTTCATGACTGACCCTGTGCGCATCCTTGTGAAGCGCGATGAGCTCACACTCGAGGTAAGTTGGGAGGAGGGATTCATGCGCAAGGGAGAAAAGGAGGGTGATGGTTGAGACAAGCTCACGTTCTAGGTGTGGGAAGAGAGGGGGGGGGGGGGGGGGGGGGGTAAAGGGGTTCACACTCGAGGTGGAAGAGGCGTGTGGAGGGATGGCAGTGTGGAGGGATGGCAGTGTGGAGGGATGGCAGTGTGGAGGGATGGCAGTGTGGAGGGATGGCAGTGTGGAGGGATGGCAGTGTGGAGGGATGGCAGTGTGGAGGGATGGCAGTGTGCACTGTGTGTTGCAGTGGGGCTTGGTGGAATACAGATGGACATGCACTGTGAGCGCCCGCATGCCTTTCACGCTCTTCACCCTGGCTCTCTGCAAACCGATCCCCTCTCTGCCCCCCATCCACTCCCTCCCCCACTATGGCCTCACTGCCCCCCCCCCCCCCCATGGCTGGCAGGGCATCAAGCAATTCTTTGTGGCGGTGGAGCGCGAGGAGTGGAAGTTTGACACGCTCTGTGACCTCTATGACACTCTCACCATCACCCAGGCACGTGCTTGCCACACTCTCCATCACCCAGGGCACATGCCGCACTCACCATCATCCATTGTTTTTTGTCACTTGGCCCTGCCACTCTGCCATTCGCACGTGACCCTCTTTCTGCTTGCCTCTCCCTCTCTCCCACGCTCTCCCGCTCACGCCAAAACATTTCTCCATTCCAAGAACATTATTACTCCCCTTACACCGTCTGCTCTCCGCCACCCCCCACTTCCCCACCTCCCCACGCCCCTCACCCCTTCCCTCCCCCACCCGCTTGGTCTGCCTATTGTGGGGTGCACTGCACTGCGGTGCCTGGCACAAAATTCCCCTCATGCCCACCCACCCCACCGCACCATGTGCCCTTCTTCCCCCTCCCCCCCACCAGGCGGTGATTTTCTGCAACACGAAGCGCAAGGTGGACTGGCTGACGGAGAAGATGCGCGCCAAACTCCCACCCTCACATCACACCTTCCTGCATCCCCACTCGCACCTCTTCACTTCCCCCTCCCCCCCCCACCTTCCCCCTTCCCCCCACCAGGCGGTGATCTTTTGCAACACGAAGCGCAAGGTGGACTGGCTGACGGAGAAGATGCGCGCCAACAACTTCACCGTGTCCGCCATGCACGGCGACATGCCCCAGAAGGAGCGCGACGCCATCATGACTGAGTTCCGCGCCGGCACCACACGCGTGCTCATCACCACGGATGTGTGGGCTAGAGGCATTGACGTGCAACAGGTGGGGCTGGCGTAATTGGGAGGAAAGGACGAGGGGAGGTGGGGAGTGGGGGGAGGGAGAGCGGGGGGTGGGTGATTGGGGGGGGAAGGAGAGGAGAGTTGGGGGGGGTGTTGAGGGGAAAAGTTGTTGCCTGCTGCCTGGGTTTAGCATTGGTGCACGGGGCAGCACCGGAGGGTGGGTGGAGGCTCAAGTGGGTGGCATGTGCTGGCATCAGCCAGGGGCCGCCACACCATGCCCACAAGCAGTGCAGTGCAGTGCAGTGCAGGCAGAGGGGAACACACACCGCAGGCATGAGATCTGCTGCCAATGTGCTCCGCCTTGATGTTTGCCTATGCTGCCCGTGCTCCCCCTCGTCCCTGCCCCTCGTGCCCAGGTGTCACTGGTGATCAACTACGATCTGCCCAACAGCAGAGAGCTCTACATTCACCGCATCGGTCGCTCCGGTCGTTTTGGCAGAAAGGTGAATGCCACCATGGCCTGCCCTGCACAGCCATGGCCCGCCCTGCACAGCTGGCGCCGTTCCTGTCTCGCAACCATGCCACCCTTTTCCTCACGCTCGTGTGCTTCTTTCCCCACTTCTCCCGTCCGTCACCCCCCTCGCTCTGCATCTTCCCCCTCCTTCCGCTCTCAGGCCATCCCAACCCCTTTTTTTGGTGCCCCCTTTTCCCCGTGTGCACTGACTGGCGATGCTGCAGGGTGTGGCGATCAACTTCGTGAGGAGTGATGACATTCGTATTCTGAGGGACATAGAGCAGTACTACAGCACACAGATCGATGAAATGCCCATGAATGTCGCCGACCTCATCTGATGCTGCTGCTCCCGTTTTAGTTCTGGCGCACTGGCAGTGTGGCACTGTTGTGGCACTGTGACAGTGTGGTAGTGACCCACGTGGTTCCTTACCCATAGAGCATCTGCTTCTGTGCTGTCTGTAAAATGTATGGAGTGTAGTATTTTGCTTGGTTTGTGCATACCAGTATATATGAATTTGAAGATATTGTTACAGATATTGTCAGAATTTACGACCCTCGCGAGATGCGAAGGAGTGGAGCTCGAGTCCCCATGATACAGCGAGACTGCGTGGGGGGGAAAGCGTGCATTTTCGCCGAGTTCTGCTGGACCATTCCCCGTGCCACATCGGCTGGTGTCACAGCCTGTTTGCGCGCCGATCGCGGCAGGTCTAGGTAGGCTTGTTGCGCCAGCCGAAGACTCGTCGCAGGAATTGCCGCCGTCGCAGGAGTCATCGCCTTCGCAAGAAACGTCGCCGGTGCGAGCGCCATGGCGGGATCGGCGGTGGCGGTGGGCGGCGGGAAGTCGGAGGAGGAGCTGCGGCGCGAGATCGAGGAGATCGAACGGCAGCAGGCGCAGGTGCGCGCGCTCGTCGGGGCGGGCTCGTACGTGCCCCCGCCCGCCGCGCCTTTCCCCGCTCGCCACTTGCGGTTTCAGCTCTTCGCCACTTGCGGTTTCAGCTCTTCGCCACTTGCGGTTTCAGCTCTTCGCCACCCCCGCGCCGTCGTTCGCTGACTCGTCGATTCCTCCCTCCAATCAGCCCCTCTCGCCCGCCCTCTTCCCCGCTCCCCCCTGCCCGCGCGTGCCTCCGCGCGCACTGTAGGTGGAGGACAGTTTGCGCACAATCACCTTGCGACTTCCCCCCAGCATAAGGCGCACGCTGCCGCCCGCTCCCCCCGCCATCCGCGGACAGTCGCTCCGCGCGCCCCGTCGCTTCCCGTACCCCGGAGGCGCCTCCGACCCCGCAGGCGGCGGCGGCGGTCGCGCTGGCGGGCTGTCGTTCGCGCGGCGCACACAGGTGGGATGGGGTGGGGAGGAATCGTTGTTCCTGTTGGCCGGTCCCCGCCCGGCTGGTTGTCTGTGTGCGGTGCTGCCCTGCCCCCGTGCGCCCACCCTGTGTGCTCCCTGTCGCCCAACCCATGCACGCATGAATCCATTCCACCGCCCGTGCTGCACTCATACCCTCATCCCGCCTCTCCCCCCCTTCCCCGCCTCTCCCCCCCTTCCCCGCCTCTCCCCCCCTTCCCCGCCTCTCCCCCCCTTCCCCGCCTCTCCCCCCCTTCCCCGCCTCTCCCCCCCTTCCCCGCCTCTCCCCCCCTTCCCCGCCTCTCCCCCCCTTCCCCGCCTCTCCCCCCCTTCCCCGCCTCTCCCCCCCTTCCCCGCCTCTCCCCCCCTTCCCCGCCTCTCCCCCCCTTCCCCGCCTCTCCCCCCCTTCCCCGCCTCTCCCCCCCTTCCCCGCCTCTCCCCCCCTTCCCCGCCTCTCCCCCCCTTCCCCGCCTCTCCCCCCCTTCCCCGCCTCTCCCCCCCTTCCCCGCCTCTCCCCCCCTTCCCCGCCTCTCCCCCCCTTCCCCGCCTCTCCCCCCCTTCCCCGCCTCTCCCCCCCTTCCCCGCCTCTCCCCCCCTTCCCCGCCTCTCCCCCCCTTCCCCGCCTCTCCCCCCCTTCCCCGCCTCTCCCCCCCTTCCCCGCCTCTCCCCCCCTTCCCCGCCTCTCCCCCCCTTCCCCGCCTCTCCCCCCCTTCCCCGCCTCTCCCCCCCTTCCCCGCCTCTCCCCCCCTTCCCCGCCTCTCCCCCCCTTCCCCGCCTCTCCCCCCCTTCCCCGCCTCTCCCCCCCTTCCCCGCCTCTCCCCCCCTTCCCCGCCTCTCCCCCCCTTCCCCGCCTCTCCCCCCCTTCCCCGCCTCTCCCCCCCTTCCCCGCCTCTCCCCCCCTTCCCCGCCTCTCCCCCCCTTCCCCGCCTCTCCCCCCCTTCCCCGCCTCTCCCCCCCTTCCCCGCCTCTCCCCCCCTTCCCCGCCTCTCCCCCCCTTCCCCGCCTCTCCCCCCCTTCCCCGCCTCTCCCCCCCTTCCCCGCCTCTCCCCCCCTTCCCCGCCTCTCCCCCCCTTCCCCGCCTCTCCCCCCCTTCCCCGCCTCTCCCCCCCTTCCCCGCCTCTCCCCCCCTTCCCCGCCTCTCCCCCCCTTCCCCGCCTCTCCCCCCCTTCCCCGCCTCTCCCCCCCTTCCCCGCCTCTCCCCCCCTTCCCCGCCTCTCCCCCCCTTCCCCGCCTCTCCCCCCCTTCCCCGCCTCTCCCCCCCTTCCCCGCCTCTCCCCCCCTTCCCCGCCTCTCCCCCCCTTCCCCGCCTCTCCCCCCCTTCCCCGCCTCTCCCCCCCTTCCCCGCCTCTCCCCCCCTTCCCCGCCTCTCCCCCCCTTCCCCGCCTCTCCCCCCCTTCCCCGCCTCTCCCCCCCTTCCCCGCCTCTCCCCCCCTTCCCCGCCTCTCCCCCCCTTCCCCGCCTCTCCCCCCCTTCCCCGCCTCTCCCCCCCTTCCCCGCCTCTCCCCCCCTTCCCCGCCTCTCCCCCCCTTCCCCGCCTCTCCCCCCCTTCCCCGCCTCTACCCCCCTTCCCCGCCTCTTCCCCCGTCCCCGCCTCTCCCAACCGTCCCTGCCCCTTCCCGTCTTCATCGCCTCTCCCCCCCTTCCCCACCTCTCCCGCCTTCTCCCTTCCCTTCCCCCTTACTGCAGTCCGATGCCGCGTTGCCGGATGGTGACGTGGCAGGGGGCACCAAGAGACGGCGGCTGATGTCAGCAGTGACGCGGGTACGGCCATTGGGGGGTGGGGAATATGGGAGAGGGGGAGAAGTGCGCGTGAGGAGCGGAGGGGAGAGTTGATGGTAAAGGGATGCGTATTGAGGAAGAGTGGTCGTGAGGAGGGGATGGAAGAAGGGAGAAGGGTGAAGGGAAGGGGAGGTGATAAACAACGTGTGTGTGGCACTAAAGTAAGCTGGCAGCAGTGTGGCAGCAGTGGCAGGCATGAGAGCATTGGAGCAGGTTTGCACTTCTCATTCCTGTTGTGCTCTTGTTGTACGCGCACGCATGTGCATCCACACATCCATGTCCCCGTACATGCTCTGCGCCCCCCCCTGCTGCGCCACCCTCTGCTGCGCCACCCCCTGCTGCGCCCCCCCCTGCTGCGCCACCCCCTGCTGCGCCACCCCCTGCTGCGCCACCCCCTGCCGCGCCACCCCCTGCATGCAGGTGGGTCCGGACGGGGAACCCATCGACCCAATCGAACCGCGCCGCACCGCTCACGACGTGCCCGCAGACACCACCGCTCCTCCCCCTCCGCCTGCACCTGCCGCCGCGCCCCCATCCTCCCCGGGCGCGCTTCCTCTGTCCGCCCATGAGCCTGCGCCCGCCCCTCCGCGCCCAGTGGTGCAGCTGGACCCCGTGGCCCGGCGCCGCCACCGCAACATGTTGGGAGCACTGCTTGTTGGCACACTGCAGGTGAGCGTGGCTGCAATGCAATGGGTCGCATGTGAGTAAGGTGGTAGCATGGTTGGGTGGGTGCAACAAGAGAGTGCGCCCGCCCCTCCGCGCCCACCCAGTGCTGCAGCTAGGCCCCGTGGCACGCCGTCGCCACTGCAACATGCTGGGGGCGCTGCTTGTGGGCACACTGCAGGTGAGCGCGGTGGTGCCATGGGTGCACATGGATGAGAGTGGTGGTGAGGTTTTCGATGTGATAAAAAGGAGTTTCGGAGACGTGATAAACGGGAGTGGTGGTGAGGTCTAAGAACTCCCTCTTTTCACAAGGTGGTGCCATGGATGGGTGCACGTGGATGAGAGTGGTGGTGAGGTTTTTGATCCACGTGAAAGAAGAGTGTTTTTGAGACGTCTCAAAAACACTCTTCTTTCACGTGATCAAGGCTGCATGCGTCCGCTCACTCACTTACTCACTCGCTCCACAGTCCCATGCATTTCAAGGTCCCCTACCTCACCTTCTTCTCAACTTCTCCTTGCCCTCTCTTTCGTTCTCTTCTCCCTCGCCGACCCACCACCTCTCCCCTTCTCACCCTTTTGAGACGTCTCAAAAGTCGCATACTCCTTGTGTTTTACGTTGTTCTCTTCTCCATCGCCGACGAACTCCCTTTCCCCCTCTCAATCTTTTCCCCTGGCTGGCAGAGGGCGCGGGAGGAGGAGGAGAGGGATGCAGAGCTGCTGGCGCGGAGGGCGATGATCCAACAGAAGGTGGGCTGGCTCGGGTGATGGAGGTGATGGGGGTGATGGGCACGCAGCGGAGCATTGTTCAATGCATGCTGCGGATTGCATGTCACTCACTTACTTGACGTGTGCTGTAAGGGATGTTTCGGAAGGGTTGCGATGGAAAGGATGATGAGGCCATACGTAACCACATGTCTTACTTTTCTTCCCGTGCTGCTCTGTGTGCTGCTCTCTGTGCTGCTCTGTGTGCTGCTCTGTGTGCTGCACTGTGTTCCACGGGTGGACCGGAAGAGCAGGCAGAGCAGCGAGTGGCGGAGCAGAGTGAGCGGTTGAAGGAGCAGGAGCGGGAGAGGATTCTGCAACAGCGCAAGAGAGACCTCGTGCGCTCTTCTCCCCTGCACCCACAATGGCCTCTTGCATGCCCTTGCACCCCTCTGTACCCCTCTGCAATCCGCGCATGCACACCCCTTGCACCGTTCATGCCTTTTCTGCACATTAAATGTATTCGGCTCTTCATTTGCCACGTCTTCTCCCCAATCCTGTCACTCCACTTGCCTCAACATGCCCCCATCCGTGACTCACACGTCATCTCAGCCTTACTATTGTATTTTTCATCCTTCGCTTTTCGTCTCTTCCGTTCTTGCATGTCTCATCCACGCCATGCCGACCCACCACGCCCTCCTCACCTGCCCACCTTGTCATCACTCGCCCCACCTTATCATCACTCGCCCCACCTTGTCATCACTCGCCCCACCTTATCATCACTCGCCCCACCTTGTCATCACTCGCCCCACCTTATCATCACTCGCCCCACCGCGCATCACCCCGCCTGCCCCACCGCGCGTCACCCCGCCTGCCCACTCGCCCGTCTCACCTGCCCCCTCGCCCGTCTCACCTGCCCCCTCGCCCGTCTCACCTGCCCCATGCGCGTGGCACATGATCAGGTGCTGAGGGCGCGGCTGATGGCCAAGGCGGAGGAGAAGGAGGTGCACCTGCTGGCACGCCACTGGCACCGCCACCGCTCTCGGCTCTCGCACTTCATCCGGTGAGCCGCTTTTAAAGGATGGGGGGATAGATTGAAGGGTGGAAGGTGGGGATGAAGGAGGTGCACCTGCTGGCACGCCACTGGCACCGCCACCGCTCTTTGCTCTCGCACTTCATCCGGTGAGACTGTTCGCTTCGCAGGGAAGGTGGGAAGAGAGGATGAAAGGTGGTGTGGCAGCACAAGCTGTTGTGCAAGGCAGGTGAGCGCTGTCGCCTCTCAGCACAAGCTGTTGTGCAAGGCAGGTGAGCGCTGTCGCCTCTCAGCACAAGCTGTTGTGCAAGGCAGGTGAGCGCTGTCGCCTCTCAGCACAAGCTGTTGTGCAAGGCAGGTGAGCGCTGTCGCCTCTCAGCACAAGCTGTTGTGCAAGGCAGGTGAGCGCTGCCGCCTCTCAGCACAAGCTGTTGTGCAAGGCAGGTGAGCGCTGTCGCCTCTCAGCACAAGCTGTTGTGCAAGGCAGGTGAGCGCTGTCGCCTCTCAGCACAAGCTGTTGTGCAAGGCAGGTGAGCGCTGTCGCCTCTCAGCACAAGCTTTTCTGTACCTTCATCACCATGCCTTGCCTTGTTCTTCCCCTCTATCCTCTCTCCACTTGGTCTCCTCTTCGCCGCTATATGCAGGTATCGCCATCACGTATCTGCCTGCCCCTATTCTCTCTGTCCTCTCTGCCTCCCCTCCTCACCCTCCCCTCCACACCACATCCCCCCTCCACCCCCACTCTGCGCCCCCCTCTCCCCACCTCGACATCCCCCCTCTCCTCCCCATCCACCCATCGCATCCCCTCTATTTCCTTCCCCTCATGGGCAGCACGCAGGCCTCGCCGCCCATCATGTACCTGCCCGCTCGCCCCTCACCAGCCACTGACAAGCTACTGCAGGCACAGGCGCAGGTGAGCGCTGTTGCATGCAGGGTGGAGTGGCATGCAGGCTGGAGTGGCATGCAGGGTGGAGTGGCATGCAGGGTGGAGTGGCATGCAGGGTGCCGCAGCTGCTTCTGCTGGTGTTGGTGCTGACCCCATATCCTTTTTCTAGCATGTACCTCCTAGAACCTTATACTTACTCCCCAACCTCCTACCTCATGCTTCGTGCTTCGGCATGGTGTTACTTCTCTTCCCGGTGCGCATTCCTCGTCTCTTCCCACCTCCTTGCCATGCCTGCTTGCTGCTTGCTCTCCCTCCTCCTTTTTGCCCACCTGCCTCACTGTTGTGCTGCTGTGGCCCTTACTGTGCCACTGCTATCATTCTCCTATGCATGCGCTTTATTTCCCTGCTCCCCCTCCCTCCTCACGCATCCCTGCTCTCTCTCACCCGGCCATCGCCCCACAACCGGGCTTTGGCAGAGCTTGGAGGAGTGGCAGCAGCAGCAGGAGCGCGAGGTGCAGCAGTTGATGGCCTCCCTTTCACCTCTCGCCTCCCGTTCCCCCGCTCTTGCCTCCCCTCCCCCTGTTGCCAGCCATCATCCCAACCCGCCATCTGGGCTTTGGCAGAGCTTGGCAGAGTGGCAGCAGCAGCAGGAGCGCGAGGTGCAGCAGTTGATGGCCGACTCCTTCTTTCCTCCCTTCCAACTCTTATCTCCTTTCCCCCTTTCATCTACCTTCTCCCTCTCGCCCGTGCATCATCCCGCCCACTGGTTGCCGGCAGAGCTTGGAGGAGTGGCAGCAGCAGCAGGAGCGCGAGGTGCAGCAGCTGGTGGCCGACTCGCTGCAGCGCCACCTGGCGGAAGCTGATAGGCTCATGCTGCCTCAGGGCGGTGATGAGGGGCAGGCAGTGGGGGGAGGGGAAGCAGGGGGGGGTGAAGGGGGGGGAGGAGTTGAGGTGGTGGCCGGAGGTGAGGTGGTGGAAGGCATAAAGGCAACCAAGGGAGAGAAGGGTGCAGGGTCTGATTCTGATGATCAGCGGATGAATTCAGTTGAGGGTGGGGGAGAGGAGAGGGACGAGAGGAAAGAGGGGTCTAGTGAAGTGCGGGTGAAGGAAGAGAAGGTAGCAGCGCCTGATGGTGAGCCGCTGAACGAGGCGGGTGTGGATGGGGAGGGGAAGGGGGAGGGGCTGGAAGAAGAGAACAGGACTGGCAAGGGCAGTGGAGGGGGAGGTGAGGAGAGCAGTGGTGTGCAGCAGCAGCATGCAGAGGAGGCGAGTGGTGCGAAGGGTGGAGCAAGGGAGGAGGGGCTGAGAGAGAAGTATAAAGGGGATGAGGTAAAGGAGGAAGGTGTGGAGGAGAGGGGTGAAGAGGTGAGGAGGGAGAGGCGGGCAAGGGGGGACAAGGGCAGGGAGGAAGAAGGTGGGGGCAGGGAGAAGGCAGGTGGGAGCAGGGAGAAGGCAGATGAGGGCAGGGAGAAAGGAGGTGAGGGCAGGGAGAAGGGAGGTGAGGGCAGGGAGAAGGGAGGTGAGGGCAGGGAGAAGGCAGGTGAGGGCAGGGAGAAGGGAGGTGAGGGCAGGGAGAAGGGAGGTGAGGGCAGGGAGAAGGGAGGTGAGGGCAGGGAGAAAGGAGGTGAGGGCAGGGAGAAGGGAGGTGAGGGCAGGGAGAAGGGAGGTGAGGGCAGGGAGAAGGCAGGTGAGGGCAGGGAGAAGGCAGGTGAGGGCAGGGAGAAGGGAGGTGAGGGAAGGAGGAGGTCACGTGAGAGGCGCTCGCCGGGGCGCCGCGTCCCTCGCACCCGCTCCCCGCACTCCCGCTCCCCTCGAAGCCGCTCCCCTCGGAGGAGCAATGGCCCTGAGAGGCGCTTAGGTGGCAGCCCCGCCAGCAGCCCCAGCAGTGGCGGCAAGGCCTCGAGGCACAGGCGTTGAGCGAGCGGCACATCACAGGCCTGGGAGGATTTGGGAGTTGTCTTGCAGTGTAGGGTTCAGAGCACCTGCTGTTGCTCTGCTTGGGTACATTGGGTCACGTGGAACCAGGTTGTTGTGAAGTGTAGAATAAATAGAAGTCATGGGGATGGCAACTGTCTGAAGGAAAAGAAGGAAGACTCAAATTTAGGAGATATGGCCACAGCTGTAGTCTCAAATTTGTTGGAAACAATTAGAAGCCTCCCTCTATATAATGTCTTACCTTTTGGTTATACCAACCCCATTGCATCACGAGTTTTTCACGAACCATTAGGTACGGTACATATTTCTGCATCGATATATTCGCGTTGAATGTGAATGTGAATAGGTGTCAATTGTTGTAGCCTTTCCTGATGCGTGTCAATTGGGGTACAGCAGTTAGGGTTAGGTTTATGTACCCCAACCCACAATAGTCAATCATCATTCGGTTTTTGACATGGTATCACCTAGGTTAGGATCCTGTGGGATCCCGTTCCTGCTTGAGTAGGCTAGAGCTCGCTCTGGCATTTATCGGTTCAGTTTAGGTTCATTTCTTAGTTTCTAGCACAAACTGAACACACCCTACGTTCAAATAGGGTGAACTACTTTTGTCTCTCGACACTTTTTCCTAATCAACCTCTTCAACCTATCTTGCTAGCCATGTCTACCACTGTCATATTAACATGGTATCTAGAGCCTAATCCTTGGCGTTTTCTGCTTATCCACATCTCTTAGGTAGGACGCTTTAGACCTTAGGCATCCGGGGCGCCAGGGCTGATTTTATCAGGGTAATTACCCTGATTTCAGGGTGATTTCAGACTTTTCACATTCTGGTCCCTGCAATTTCAGTTTTAATGACTTCTGAACACTGATCCTGTCAGATAAGTACTTTAGCGAACCCTGAAATTTTGTAAACACTCACAGAGTAGTGTTCTTATGGACCCAGTCAGTACAGAGTATGCGTCTTGTGGACCTTGAATGCAACGTTATCGAGACGAAGCTTCGAGGAATCTTCGTTCCGATAACCCCACATGTGCGTAATCATGATTACGCTTGCACACATTTCACGGACCCCGTGGGCGCGAACCAGGTTATCGCAGTACACTGCGTTTTGTTTACAATCACCAGTTGTGGTTTCTGACTGTGTTGAGCAGTAAACTTAAACCGAGAAAATCGCCATCTGGCGGATCGCAGAGTGATTCGACAGGAAATAACAAAACAAAACCATCCGTAGTGAAATACCGTATTGCCATGTGACTGATTGTTTTTAGTAATCAGCTAATATTTCTCGTTAACTTTCGAAAAAAAACATGTGCAAGTGAAAATACTTAGTGAAAATAAACGAAAAACTAATATTGAAAAACGCCCCCCCCCCCCACCAAAACCAGATCAAGTCTCGACACCCCTCTCATGAGCAGCCTGTCCCCCCATTTCCTCCCCCCCTTCTCCCCTTTCTCTTGTGGGGACGACCCGCAGTCACGAAATAGCCCCGCGCCAATCACTTGGTCCCTCCCCCTTCGTTCGCGCACCACTCGCTCTTGCCCCTTGCGCCCCTAGGAGATCCTCCCACGCCACACGCACTCCCTCCAGCCAATCCAGCCAATCCAGCCCAAACCAAACACGTCACTGTTTTTCTCGCCAAACTGGAAAGATGAAAAAAATCAAGCCTGATTTCAATTCGCCAACCCTGACAGCTCAGACTTGCGATTTCGTGGACACTGAACATCACAAGAAGGCTCAGGCTTGGCGTTCTGCGGAAAATATGCCTTCAGGGTAAATTGCTTTGGGGGGATTGAAATCAGGGTAGCCATATTTGAATCGTCAGCCCTGCGGGGCGCCACTTCACACTTAGTGTAGGTTTTCGTTTCCTACCATACCATCTCGACCAGGCCCTCAGATATCAGCGTAAAACAAGCTGATTAGGCTGATTTTGTAGCTGTGATTTTCGTTTTCCCTGAAATTTCAGTATCTTCTTTATATTTGCACTGATTTTTCAGTTTAAAGTGTAGGACTACCCTGACGAATTAGTGTATTGGTGTACCAGTTACACTGAACCATCAGTATAGTGTACCGAGTCACACTGATTTGGACTTACCAAAATACATAGGGTTCAGGACATGAGTGCGCGGATGTAGGGCTTTAGGCCCGAATCATCGCCACCCACTACTAGTTAACCTCTCAGTCACGGGACTTAAACCCGCGACCTCTCTAATAACGGGTCGAAACCTTAGACAGCTACGTGTAAGGAAAATCCCTTTTTCCTTACTTCGCGTCCCTCCTCAACGCGTACATCACTGTAGCACCACAGTCAGCACCGTTACCACTCGCAATCCTCGCATCGACAATCCGCCCGCCATCTTCGCACGTCGCACCCCGACCTCACGGCTCGGCGGGTAACCCGCGCTCCGGGCCTCCGCTTCGACACTTTTCCCAACCTCAGTCCCAGGCCCGTCGCGCGACAACCACAGTCCATTACCGTTACCACTGTAGTTTCGCTATATATTCTTCGCTCATGCCTTCGCTCATTGTACTTTTGCTTCGATAGTGCAATTCTCGTTCGTTCACTCAATTGCACTCGTAACACTTGGTATCAGAGCCTACGACCTCTTCTCGGACCGCACCCACACCTTCGCTTCCCCACTATATCAATTTTTGGGGGGGGTAGACGTCCCTCAGCGACACAGCACCGCCGCTCGTAGTGCTCTCTCGTAAGCACGCACGGCCACGACTGAGGCTCTCGCTGAGCTCGCCCGACACCCCCGCCATGGCCGAATTCACGCTCGCCACATTGACGCAGGAGCAGCTCGACCGTCTGGTGCGCCAACTCGAAGATTCGGCGCTCGAAATTGCGATGCTCACAGCGGAACGTGACTCCGCGCGTCAGCAATCAACGATGAACACTCCAGCGCCACCACACGCACCGACAAATGCATCTGCACAATCAGACGAGCCGATCGTCATCTCGTCCGGCACACCAACACAAAACAACAGCGTGGGACAGCGCTCAGGCGCAGCCAGCAATGGCGCCGCCCAGCCGATGCCTGGCATGGGAGGAAACAGGGTCGCACCAAGCCCGCGGGAGCCTCGCGAAGCCCGTCGGCACGTGGAGTTTGCGGCGACAAGTGGCAAACAAGCCATCATGGCACCAATGCCACTCAAGCCGCAACGCCCGCCCTGCTTCGACCCGAGCCAGCGTGGAGGTCCGACGGTTCAATCGTGGGTTTTCACTATGAACGTCTTCTTCGACGCGAATTACGTCGAGTCGGACGCAGCGAAGATTCGGTATGCAGTTTCGCTGTTAAGGGGCCCCGCCATGGACTGGTGGCGAGTCATCGTGACGTCGCCACGCGCCTACGAGCCACCGTCGCAAGAGGAAGGGCACACGGGTCCAGCTGTCACCTGGAGTTCATTCTGCGAGACCGCCCAATACAGAACGTGGGATGCGTGGTGCGCAGGGCTTCGGGCGCGCTTCGAGCCGATCGCGGCTTCTATTTCGGCGCGTCAGAGATTGCGCACTTGGCGGCAGCTCGGGTCGGTTCAAGATTACACGAGCGGTTTTCTCGCACTTTGCGAGCATGTCGGCTACATGCACGAAGCGGAGCGGGTGGACCGTTACGTCGGAGGGCTGAAGCCGGATATCTCGCTCGAAATCATGCTGCGCGGACTCTCAAACTTCAACGAGATTCTCGCGCTCGCCGAGAAAATCGACATTCTACGCCGACCGAGACCGGGGTCCTACTACGGACATCGTCCTCGGGGACCGATCGAGCACGCCACTGTAAACGCTGTTGCAACGAATGCAGCTGCCGCACCGTTTAAGGGGCGCTGCTTTGCTTGCAACAGGCCGGGCCATCGCAAGAGCGAATGCCCAGAGGAGCTAAGGCGCCGCGGAGCAGAGCAGGGGAGGGAGTCTCAGAGGCAGGGAAACGCCAGCAGTCAGTAGAAGTTGGGCCAACTACTGACGAGAGTGCCTGCTCGCCCAACCGCACCGACCCTCACCGAGTCACAGTACCGATTCACGCCATCGATCGGGCTCGGATGAATAAGGAGGGTACAACGACGGATTGCCCAGTACTGATCCACGGGAAAATACAGGGAGCAGCAGTGAAGATTTTTATTGACGGATGAGCAAGCCACAGTTTAGTTAATACCGCAACTGCGCGAAAATTACAACTGACACTTAGTCGCTGCTTACCTGAGATCGACGCACGCTTAGTTGACGGCACGCCGCTGGCCATACGGGAGAAGGTGGAGAGAGTAAAAGTTCGCTGCGGAGGAAACTTCGGGTTTACACAGGAAATGCTCGCGACGACATTGGATGGGCATGATGTTTTACTGGGACGTGATTGGCTGCGACGATATAACCCGCGAATTGACTGGACGACGGGTAGCTGCACCGTGCGAAGTAGTGGTAACTGGGTCGAGCTACCTCGCTGGCAGTCGCCCGAGTCTTCAACGGTACACGTCAACGCCATCACAATGAAACGGGCTGTCACTGCTGGAGCTGACGTGTACGCAGTAGACATCGTAGTAGTAGAGGAAGCAGAGCAGCCGAGTGATTTCAAGAAACTCCTGGCAGCTGTACCGCCCGAATTACAGGAACTGTTGAAAAGATACCCCGGGATTTTCCCCGACGACTTACCGGAAGGACTGCCACCTCAGCGAGCACATGACCACCGAATCGAATTAGAACCAGGGGCACAGCCAACCGTACAGCGCCAGTTCAGACTGACACAGCCCGAGCTTGACGAACTTAGGAAGCCGTTAGATTACCTATTAGAGAAACAATTCATCAGACCGAGCTCGTCACCGTTCGCCGCACCGATACTATTCACGCCGAAAAAAGACGGGGGTTTTCGCATGTGTATCGACTACAGAGCACTGAACAGGGTAACAGTCAAGTCGCGGTACCCAATTCCCCGCGCCGACGAACTGATCGACCAACTGCGAACAGCACGGGTTTTTTCGAAAATAGATTTACGGGG